TCTCTCTCTCTCTCTCTCTCTCTCTCTCTCACACTCTCTCTCACATCTTATTTGATTTATATGATTGTATGAAATTTATTAGAACATGTACAAGAATTATCAGCATGAACCCCATTGGAATTAATGGAATTTAATAAAATTCCTTTGAATTCATAACTCACGATTGCTCCAAAACAGTCTAAATTTATAAAACCTACATATTTATTTATAACAAAATAAATTCACTTGCATAAACTTTCAATTTCAGATGATAAAAGCTATCAGTGTTTCGTGCTGCAATGGTTCATCAACAAACCACATATTCATGTTCATCAACACAATTCAGTCCCAAAAGTGTGAGAGCTATGAGGAAAAGGCTATGTATTTTACTAAAGTGTTTTGGCACTAATATAACTCCATAGATAATTGAACAAAGTATCTTTGGCACCCAACGGTGCTCCATACAAACCCGGGTCGAAATGACCCGAACACGAAAATGGTTAAATCTCTTAAAAAATCTGACTGGTCTGATAGATGAGTTCCCAGAGACGCATGCGCTGAACCCGTAATCAGACGATCTGCCGCTGAAGTGTTTGCCTTTCTCCTCCAGTGGCACCTAAAAGCCCACAGAAGCGTCTCGGCCCCAGTTTGTCATGAATGCTTGTCGTCTGCTCGCGGGAACAGAGGTCTCCATCTGGAGCCGAGAGAGACGGATCAGTCTGACGCCGTCTGGGTTTGAGGGCCGAACCCGTCACACGCTGTAGAGGAACGTGAGAGCAGGCGATGCAATGAGGAATAGGCCTGTTGCAATCATATATCGACTTATCGCGCAATATATGTGCATGACCTCAGTCATTTTTGGTGACGCAATATATCGCCCGTTATATTTACTTAAAAATTAATGTCACCATGTTTTGTACATTCCACTTGCGCCTGTGTCTTTATCAGCTTCTTGTACATAACGTGGTGTAGTCATGAGGTGCTAGTTCAGATTTAAAAAATGCTTCTACAAACGAAGTTTCATCTGCAGACATGGCCTTGTTTAGCGATCTGACGGACATCTGACTGCTGAGTAGCGCTTGTGTTTCTCAGAAATAGTGTGCAGCCTTAATTTACTGAGAAAAGAAGGTCAGGGGAAAATCTGTAGACGGAAAAATCTCCATGTTCTTTGTGCATTTTTCAGTTTTTCTACTTGTTACTTTGCACTTTTTGTTAAATGTTTATTTACTGTTTATTCAGGTTTTTTAAGGTATCTAATATTTTGATACTTAATTCCCACGATCTAAATATTCTTACAAATTACAAGTTTGTTGTCATTTGGAAGTGTGTTGGCCATCTTGCATTATTATGCTGTTACATTATGATTATATATTCAGTGGCATAAAATGATCTTTAAAATGATATCACTTATCGCAATTATTTCTGGGGCAATATATCGCACAACAAAAAGTTATCGTGAGAGGCCTGACGAGGAAAACACGAGACACGAGTTTAAAAGCTGAACTTCTGTTGGGTTGAGCGCCGCGTCTTTAGTGAGACGCTTCTCTTTATCCTTTCTTTATTCAATTGTTTTCTTTTAGTCCTTTTCTCTTTCTTTCTTTCTTTCTTTCTTTCTAATTTTTATTTCATTTTATCGGTTTGTTTGATTTTTGTTCTTTCTCTTTTTTTATTGTTTTCCATTTTCTTTAATTCTTTTTATTTTTCTGTTTTATTTCGTTAGTTTTGTTTGATTTGTTTACATTCTTTCTTATTGTTTTTCTTTAGTTTTTTTATTTTTATTCTTTTCCCCCAATTTATTGTTTTTCTGTTTTCGTTCTTTTTATTTTTGTATTTTATTTTTTTTATATTTTTGTAAAAAAAATTAATCTTTTTTTTTTTTTTTTCTATTTATTTTTTATTTGTTTAATTAAATTTTTTTCATGCACGAGACACAAGTGTCCGTCTAGCTCACGTTTATCAGAAAAACAATGGAGGAGCAGCTCAATGGAATGGAGAAACGCAGTAGTGAAGAAATACTGCTGATTTGAGATGCACACGTATAATCTGATATTTCTGTTGATTAAAGCACATGATCATCTTCAGTGAGGGGTGTTTTTCAGAATCGTGTTGTTCGGTTGAGATTGTCTTTATTAGCTGCTTTAACGACTCATTCGGTTTCAGTTAGTGCTGGGCGGTATGACAAAAATTTTTTTCAAAATTATACCAGTTTCACGGTACATGACGGTATTTTTTTTCCATGCATGACCGAGTGTTAACCGTATCTTCTACTGATTGAGAGGAAATACTGCAGTATATTGACTTAGAATGCTCTATTTTACTGTCATGATGAGTGAATACTGTCAAAAAATACCACACTAAATAGTGACTAAACACGACCCCTTTTAATACATGTTAACCAGGAGTCTCTCTCATTTATAATCACAGCATCGTCTGATAAACTCTGCATGCATCTACACTAAAGAGCGGCTATGTGGACAGCACTGGAGAAATCTTCCAACTGAACCATAGCTAAGCTTTATCCAGAAAAGTCTCTAGGTTTGTCAGTATGAATATTCGATGGAAGAAAGCCGCTAAAAGGGTCTGAAAGTGGCTAAATCTAGTGCTAAAGTGGCGCTGGTGTGTGTGAGACGCGGGAGCTGATGGCAGGGGGCGCTGGATATTTGTGGAGGTCAGTGTGGATATTGTGGATGAGTTCTTCTGCGTCATCACGCTCTATTAGTTCTACAGCTTCAGTATCTGAACTTTCACGCTTAGTAACACATACAGCTGTTCCCTCACCACAGTGCAGCAGTGAAAAGAGACCCCTCTCAAACAGTGCCACGTTCCCAACCTTGTTTAAGCGACACACACCGGTGTTGCGGTATCTTAAAAATTAATATTATAACAAAAATAAACACCGGTATTCGGTATGAACCGGTGTACCACCCAGCACTAGACTCAGTGTTAAACAGAAATCACTCTCTGCAGCTTCACACTGAGTCTCTCCCAGCGCTGATTATACCTCGTTTATAGGGTCCAGTTAAAAAGGCTGTTTGTAATAAAGCACGTGATATTAGAGCATAAAGTCAGTCAGCGTCTCAAACACCTCTGACACTTTCACTAGAATGGAAAACTGACGGATCCAGCTCGTTAAAGACATAGCATCTCGTCTGTGGCCTCCACTCGTTTACCCCTCTCGCTCTCTCTCTCTCCTACGCAGCAGCTCAAACTGTGTCCTCCGCTATATTTTCAGATGCGCTCGTATCAAACTATTGCATATCGATATAAACGGTATTGCCTCATATCGTATCGCTTATAAAGAAAATATCGATATATCGTACAAACTCGATATACCGCCCAGCCCTAAAAGGTAATATAGTTAATAACTGTGACCAAGTAGAAAGTGAAAAAAAAAGAAAGAAAACAAACAGCATACCACAGAAGAGAACATATCATGATGGTTAAAACAGCATTACAGTTCCTTAAAATATCCAGAATATTGTGTTTTTTCTCCCTCATTTTTGCTGCTTCTTCAATCTAAGGAAACATAAAAAGCGTCAATTAAACTGAAGCATTGAGAAGTGAGTCTGTGTACTGCATCGTGTGTTCTAGGGCGGTGCTGCCTAGACTGAACTGGTCCACTCTCTCTCTCTCTCTCGTTCTCTCTCTCTCGCTCTCTCTCTCTCGTTCTCGTTCTCTCTCTCTCGTTCTCTCTCTCTCTCTCTCTCTCTCTCTCTCTCTCTCTCTCTCTCTGTGTGTGTTGGTCTCTTCATCTCGAGCAGGCGGGTGTGAAGCGGATCGTGACCCGCACCGCAGCACCACTATATTTGGTTTGTTTTTCCGCTCTGCTGTTTAAAGTAGCTGCTACTGATGTGCAGGAGGAACATCTCTCTGCCCATAATTCTACTCCCTGTAAACATGTCAGGCGCTCAGAGCAGCGCGTGTTTGCTTTGCTCTTCTGTTCCAGCGGACGAGACGCTACGCTGGTGACGGAGTTACGGCTCTTCTCTCCAAACGCTGAATCCATCATGTTTTATGAGCTTCAGCTGCGTTTCGCTGCTTTTGTGTCATTTCTGATCATGAACTCCGCAGCATGTGTGAATGCAAACACACATTAAGATGTTTGGTTCTAAATCAGCATTTTATCAGAAGTACACTTTGAAAAATCCACATCAAATTATCCCATATTTAATTCTCATCAGAAGAGTTTTTCTCAGACAATTCTTTGCAACTGCTTTTGAGTTGTTTCTGATCATGAATTTAGCAGAAACAGCTGTTTAAGTGCTGATATATTGCAAATCTGGTTTAATGCAGTAATTATTTAATGCAACATTTACTTTATTCTCATCAGATTGATTATTTCTCATGACATTTTTTTTAATAATATTTGAAATATTTTAATATTTATATTATAATGTTGTAGAAACTATTTTTAATAATATTTTAAATAAGTAAAAAAAACCGTATTAAATGAGTTTAAAAGTATTAATAATTTTTTTATTATTTTGTAATAATTAATTTTAAATAATACTTTTCAAATTATTTTTAAATAGTAAAAAATTTATTTTTAAATAAAATTCTTAAATTATTTTAAAATAACTATTACTTTTAACATTTTTGTTTATTTTTAAGTGCAGTTTGTTCAGACAGAGCTGGATAAATGCGTTGACTCCAGAATCACACGGGCGCGTCGGAGGATTCGTCTCGACTCTAAACATGGCCAATTATGGTGTTTGTGTTTCACTGGTTTAAGGTCACAGAGACGAAACTCCTGGCGTCCGTCCACTCACATGACCCGCACTTCGTCACCGAGCGTGGCAGATCTTAATAACTTCCGAGCTCTCAGATTAAGCAGTGTAGGGATCTGTCAGGACTAGTTATAGTTAACGAGGAAGAGCTGTCTCCCGTCCAGTTAGATGGACTGGAAATCATGATGTTAATGTTTCTAATATCTTCATGCCTTATAGTTGCATTGATCAGATTGGAGCTTGATGATAATAGTTATATTTTGCAACAGTATAGTCAATCAAGCAGTTGAGATTTGCTGTATAGTATGTTTCTTTACGTGAATGTGCTGTAAGTACAGTATGCATGTATGAGCCACTCAGTCAAACCACTGGATTTGCTGTATAGTATGTTTCTTTACGTGAATGTGCTGTAAGTATAGTATGCATGTATGAGCCACTCAGTCAAACCACTGACTGTGTGTGTGTGTGTGTGTGTGTGAGTGAGAGTGTGTGTGTGAGTGTGTGTGTCATTGAACCTGGGGGATTGTGGGTAACTGGTACGGTTTGTGCCGTGATGGGGATTAGAGCTGGTTTGTGTATCTGAACCCTGCGGGTCACATTCACTTCCTCCTGACTCCAACAGAACTCACATCAGACAAACTCGAGACACGCGTCACATTTTAGCTTTTAATATTTTTTTATTTTTATGTGGTCTATGTATTTGGGGGGTGTTGAGTTATTTTAGTTTCTCGAACAAAATAAAAATGAACTTTTGCTGTGGCAACTAGTTGAAATAAAATAAGTTCAAGGTTTTTTTTTCATCAAGTAATGTTTTTTATGGTGTTAATAATCCAGTCCCATTCTTCCACTTGTTTTATTTGAAAGTTTTTATAATGTTACGCATATAGTTCGACTGATGTGTGGATCAGTAACTCCATCTGTTCCCTTCTCTCTCTCTCTCTCTCTTCGTCTCTCTTCATGTTGTGTTTCTCAGGCTGAAGGCGGCGGAGGAGAGTTTCCGGCAGGTCAAAGAAAAAGCCACATACAGCGTCAAACCCAAACACGCGTCTGGAATCGTAAGTCAGTTTATTCACAGCGCACATGGTTTCAAAGCAGCTTTACTGAAATATCTTCATGCCTTACAGTCGCCTTTATCATTAGAGTGAGCTAAACAATCAGTCAGTTGCGATCTGCTATATAGTATATATCTTTGTATATACTTGCAGTAGTTGGAGTTAATTCATTATGCGTATGAAATCTGTACAGTTTGTTTCATTTCCAGCCATTTGATGCAGTGAGGAGCTTCATTACTATTAGATGACGTGTATTGCTGACAGTGAAATGATGCACATGAAAGACCGGGTTAAAATGCTTTATTAAACTCCATGAATATCTGTTGAGTGAGTTACTGAACCTGCAGAGGCCAAAAACACTGATGCTGAGATATTCCTGTAGCTCATACAGCAGGTCATGTGCATGCAACTTCATATAATGGGTTCGATTCCCAGAGTGTGCATGAACTGATCAAAGTCACTTTGCATTTAAAAACATTTACATGCATCTGGCAGTGTTACATTTTAAAAGTTACTATGGAAGCTTGTTTTCGCCACTGAATAAAAAATAATTGACTTTTTATCTCACAATTCTGACTTTTTTCTTGCAATTGTGAGCTTAACTATCACAGTTGATTTTATAACGCAGTTGCGAGTTTATATCATGCAGTTGTGAGGAAAAAAAAGATTTAAACTTGCAATTCACCTTTATTTGTATAGCACTTTATACAATACTGGTTGTCAAAGCAGCTTTACAGTGTTAAACAGGAAAATAGTTTGTAAATAATGCAAGAAGACAATAGACGAAAAGCAACGGTCCTAGTACTGAGCCTTGTGGCACTCCATACTGTACTTGTGATCGATTTCTCATCATTTACTGCTACGAATTGATGACGGTCAGATAAGTAAGATTTGAACCATGACAATGCAGTTCTACTAATGCCACTAATTCTGTGAAATAAGTCAGAATTGTGAGATCTAAACTTGCAATTGCATTATAAAGTCACAATTGCAAGGCATAAAGGCATTTTTCTTCACAATTTATATCTCGCAATTCTGATTTTATAACATGCAAATGTGAGTTCGAAAGTCAGAATTGAGAGACAAACTTGCAATTGTAAGAAAATATTCTCTTTTTCGTCAGAATTGGACTTTATAACATGCAATAGCAAGTTTATATCTGAAAATTCTGAGAAAAGACGTCATAATTGTGAGATGTAGACTTTTGCGAGCAAAAAGTCTGAATTGTGAGAAAAGTCGCAATTGCCTTGTTTAATTGTTTATTTAGTGGCGGAAACAGGCTTCCATGAGTAACACATTTTGACGGCCATAAGTATATGAGCTCAGATGCTTTGACTCTGTAGTTTGGATGCTCATCTCTAATCGCTCCTCATGATCCTGAGATGATAATTCTTAGAATTATAAGAACTTGTCATGCGGCTTTAGTCCTACAGCAACTGCACTGACCGTTATAAAAGTGTTTCCAGTGAGCTACGAGACATTCACATGCAGATTTACTTTCGGGATGTAAATTGAGATTGTGAGTGCTGCTTGTGCTTTCATCACTAAATGAGTGTCCTTATTTCCTCTCAGAAAGCAAAGCTGGGCATGAAGATCTGAGGCGGATGTGAACTGACAGACGGACGCTCTTGTGCCGTTTCATCTGTAAATCGCTCTCGCAGCAGCTTCGGTGTTATCTGCCGTACCACACAGGAAGTGATCCGCCGTCTGAATGTGATGTCATATCCTGTGTCCTGACGGATGAACATATCAGACGTTTGCTCCACCGTACATACTGGAGGACGGAAGCAATATAATAAAAAAAATTTAAAAAAATAAATTTTATTTTTAACAGATCAGAAAAGGCGCGAGAATCAGGATTTCCGATGCATCTTCATTTTAAACATCGGCACCGTCAGACGCTTTTAAACCAACACTAGTTAGTGCAGTTTAGTCCTGTAGTCTTCAGCCCAGTTAACATGTTCAAAGCACACTCCAGTTCTACAGGACCTAAAAGAGACACTCCAGTATGTACAGTAGGAGTCAGATCAGACAGCGGCGAACGATCAGGAATTAACTCAGTGTTTTTGTGAAATTATGCAAGATTGTTTTCTGGTTTTTCTGCATCCACTCATTCACTCACTCACTCGATGTATTTAAGAGGATGTTTTTTAAATTAATGTAAATTATATTAACATCTATATGTAGCATTCTGGTTTGTTTTTAGCATGTGCGTGTCGGAGGTGTGGATGGGTGTCTGCGCTCCATGTGCAATAACTGTTTGTATCGGAACGTTTTGAGAAGAGTGTAATTTATGTAAAATAAAGGGATTAATAAATTCAGACATTTTAATTTATTTGACACGATTGGAGATTTACTTACATATTCGCCATGGGAATCTTATCTTATGAATCTCTTCAGGATTCTCAAACAAGCATTTTGGTTCATTTTGTTGGTTATTATTCAGACACTAATAAGAGTTCAAGACTCTAGCTCAGTTTAACACATTTCACCATGTTAAAGGGATGTTCACACCAAAAACTTCATTTCAAATAATAGGATTAACAATATGGGAAAGGCAACAGATATTGCATTCTCATGGTCTGTTCTTATGATTTAATGAACATATCCCATTAAAAAAATTCACTGGAATGCATACGAATCTCCCCAAATCCTCATCCACGTCTCTTTCCCGGTTTGTTTTTATGTGGATATTTTACACGTTTTTTTTCTTCCCTTTACTGGAAGGTTTCAAAGCAGGGAAATACTATTCATGTCAAAATGAGGGAAGTACTTTGAAATGTCCATCACTCTTCCAGATAATGGAAATAATGCACGTACAGTAGACAGTAACGCAGTTTCTTATAAGCACACACTTAACAAAAAAATCACTCTGAAAATCATCGTTATCTTATGGAAGCCGGTTTCTGCGACATCATAATAAATAAAGGTAATTGCAACTTATCTCAATTCTACATTTTATAAAGTTTATATCACCGTTTTCTTAATTCTGAGAAAAACGTCATTTGCATGCAAGAAACTCAATTGCGAGGAAAACTTGCAATTCAGAGAAAAAAGTCAGAATTGCAAGAGATAAACTGACTTTTTCTTGCAATTCTCACAATTGACTACTTTTCTCTGAATTCTGTTTACATCTTGCAATTGTTTTTGTTTCTACCATTAAATAAAAAAAAAGGTAATTGCGACTTTTTTTTAATCTGACAATTTTTACCTTTTCTCGCAATTGCATGCTTATATTTTGCAATTCTGCCTTTTTTCTCCTTTCTGCGTGATATAATCTCAAAATTGAGATATGAACTCAGTTCTGTGAAAAATGTCATAACTACAAGATATAAATTAAAAAAGAATGAATGACTTTTCTCTGATTTCTGACTTAATATCTTACAATTCTGAATTGTGAGAAAAATTCTGAACTGTGAGATATAAACCCAGAATTGCAAGGAAAAAAGTCAACATTGTGAGATTAAAACTCCAAATCTTATAGTTGTGATGTGACTCCACTATTCTCTTATAGTTACAGCGATTATTGAAACTTTGTCATCGTTATCATTCCTGGTGTGAACGGGCCTTTATATCCAGTACACCAATTTTCCCCACAAAAATCAGCAGATTTGCATTGGATCTGCATTGGATTGATCACAGGTTCTCAAACGTAATAATGTGAATCTTCCAGGGTTTTTAAATGGTGCAAATCAAGCTCTACTGCAAGATAACTGTACTAACCAATGGAGAAAACCCAACTGGATTAAACCACATCAAGGCTAGTTTTCCCATGTCAGCTCTGGACTGAACTCCTCAAGAACAGAAGACAAGAATAGAACTCAATATTTTTAATATAGACTTCAGTTGTTTCTCTACATATTTATACTTTAGCTGTTCCATATTTCCATAGAATCTCTATAATCAGTCTAGTTATGCATGTTTGGTGTTCACTATCATCAGTCGTCACACAGGCAGCAGCTCCTGGATAGAGTTCAGTGTTTAGTCAATTCTCTGCACGTCAGTCATTTCCACACACTCTCTAGTGACTGTTTGAGACCATAGGTGACTGATGGTGTCCGATGATGACCGATAGTGACTAATGATGACTTAGTGTCCATTGGTGACCGATAGTGATCAGTGGTGACTGTTGGACACTAGTGCTGACCGATAGTGATCAGTGGTGACTTGGCATTAGTGCTGACCGATAGTGATCAGTGGTGACCGTTGGCACTAGTGCTGACCGATAGTGATCAGTGGTGACTTGGCATTAGTGCTGACCGATAGTGATCAGTGGTGACCGTTGGCACTAGTACTGACCGATAGTGATCAGTAGTGACTGTTGGACACTAGTGCTGACCAATATTGACCGGTGTCCAGCAGGACAGTCTTGCGATGACGTGATGAAGCCTTGCAGTCTTTCAGCTCAGATTAGCAGCAGGACTTTCCAGTGGAACGTCGTCAGGATCTCACTGTTTCCCAGACTCAGACATGTTGACGGACATGCAGCGGCACTGCTTGACACGCTGGATCTTGCGGTAGCGGACAGCCGGCTGCAGGTCGGGGCAGTCGAGCTCCACAGTGAGGCTGGTGAAGCGCTGCGGCCTGCAGAAGGTGCAGGACTGGAAGGACTCCTGCTCCTTCCTGACGTGCCGCGGGATGTAGAAGGAGTTGCACTGGCCGTAGCAGAAGCGGTTGATGACGGTGCGGCTCTTGCAGCCCTCCTGACTGACCGTCTGCCGTAGCGGCTGCGTCTTGCACCAGTCGCTCTTCAGGTACTTGCGCTCCGTCACCACCAGAGCTTCCTGGCTGGAGGCCAGCACTTCCTGTTTGCGGGTGCGCCGGTCTGAGGTGTTGGAGCCGGTTTTGTGGGGCGACGGGATGGATCCCTGCGGTCGGGTCTTACGGCCGGTGGAGGCGACGCACAGCAGGCCGGCGAGCAGCAGCCATAGCGCCACCTTACAGCTCATCCTGGAACAGACTGAGAGAGAGATAGAAACTGTTAAAACATCAGAAACCACATCCTGTCTGACAGGAAGTCATGAGATGAGGACAGGAGACGAGCAGCTGACCTCCTGACCCCTGATCATTACACACACCTGTGAGTATAAGATCATGCCATCAGCAATATTTTTGCTCTCTTTTGTTGCTTAATACAGGAAAGACTAAACATGAAATGCTTTTATGCTGAAAGTAGATTAATTTCACTAGTTGAGCTCCAAACTAAAAGACAAACTCCAACTCTGATTTAATCATGTCACTGAGGAAAAGGGTTAGGGTTAACTAGACTAGGGTTATGGTTTAGGGTTAGACTTTTTAATAGTTGTCACCACAAATACTATGTACACTTCATTCACGCCTACCGTTTCTTTTATCTCTAGAGAATGAGTTAATTACAGACCGATCTTAAATCTACCTTTTCTGTCAAAGAGACTAGAAAAGGCAGTATCCTGTCAGCTATGTTCCTTCTTAGATTTAGTCAGGATTTAGACCCTATCATAGTACCGAGACTGCTCTCATTAGAGTTACAAATGACCTGCTCTTATCATCTGATCGTGGTTGTATCTCTCTATTAGTGCTACTGGATCTTAGCGCTGCGTTTGACACTATCGACCACAACATTCTTTTGAATAAACTAGAAAACTTTGTTGGAAATAGTGGAATTGCATTGTCATGGTTCAAATCTTACTTATTTGACCGTCATCAATTCGTAGCAGTGAATGAAGGGGTATCTTATTGATCACAAGTGCAGAATGGAGTGCCACAAGGCTCAGTACTAGGACCGTCGCTTTTCACGCTTTACATGTTACCCTTGGGAGATATCATCAAGAAATATGGTGTTAGCTTCCACTGTTATGTTGATACTCAGCTCTATATTTCTTTATGGCCCAACGAAACCTACCAATTTGCAAAACTAACGGAATGCATAGTTGATATAAAAAAAACTGGATAACTAGTCATTTCCTACTGCTATATTCTGAAAAAAGCAGGTGTTAATTATTGGACCAAAAACCTCTGCATGTAATAATCTAGAACACTGTCTAACACTTGATGGCTGCTCTGTTAATTCCTCGTCATCAGTTAGGAATCTTTGGTAATACCTAGAATATCAAAATCAACTGCGGGCGGCAGATCCTTTTCCTATTTACCGCCCAAACTCAATAGGAACAATCTACCTAGCATTGTTCGGGAGGCAGGCACACTCTGTCAGTTTAAATCTAGATTATGCATGGTTCATAAACTTCATAAAATACCTTCATAAAATGATGGTTGAACCACTGATGTCACATGGACTATTTTAATGATGTCCTTACTTCCTTTCTGGGCATTGAACGTGGTAGTTTTCTTGCTGTCTATAGAGGGTCAGAATGCTCTCGGATTGTGAGAAAAGTTCTGAAATGTGAGATATAAACCCAGAATTGCAAGGGGGGAAAAAATCTGAATTGTGAGATTAAAAAGTCCATATCATATAGTTGTGATGTGACTCCACTATTAATAGAGTAGTTATCACACTACAAACCAGGGGCTGAGCGCCATTCAGAACTGAACTGAAATGATGGCTTTTAAATTCCGATTCAATTCCTGAATTAGAATTTCAGTTTCTCACACACTCTCTCACTCATGCACAAACACACTCGCATTTTAAAACCATGATTAAAAACACATTCAGTGGGACTCAATGTTATATGACCCTACAGTTCTGACCGTTCAGTTTGACTGAATCTCTCCTCGTGTTCTTTCTGGGGTCGAAGCGTTTCACCCTGAGCTTGCACTTTGTTTCCTGTGAAGACAGGAAGTCACAGATTAACTTTAATTTGTCACTTTGTCTGCATTCAGCAGAGTTTCGGCGGCAGCCTGAATGATTACGGCTGTGGAACGAGAGCGAGCGATCCGTCAATCACGCATCTTTAGCACAGATGTGGCATCGCCGGAAGGAAAAACAAATCTGATTCATTCCCATAAACGAAATATTTACAAAGCGGCTCTTTTTCGTGAATCAAAGCCCCTCGCTTTCATTCCAGAGAGCGTCAAGGTTGAACCTTCCTTTTTAAGTTTTTCCTGTTCTTGATTAGAAATCTCCAGGAACGACGGGCTTTTGTTTTTCCTCTCTGAAGCCTGACGGCTCTGGGAGTCTCGTCTACACTCGCTGTTGTTCACAGTCAGCAGAACAAGGGCTGTTTGCATGAAGATGATGAATGAGAGTCGTTGTTTTAGTGTTGGGGATACGGAGTTTGATTTCGCGACCTCGGTGCAGACGCCTCATAAATCTCATGCCCCTGAACTCGCTCTGTCTTAAACTCCTTGTGTTTTGTTGCACAAGACATACAGCGTCACTGAGAGTCGATGACTGCAGCTCCGTCTCTCGGAGTGTCTCCAGAGCTGCTGAAGGTCACGATGGTGGAGACGCTTGTTTGATTTAGTCATTCCAGCTTTATTTGACCTGTCAGACATGTTTCTCCCTCATCTGATAAGATGAAGCTCTCGTTTGAGAGGAAACTCTTGTCTATATTTGTTACATATGAACCACAAAAAAAAACTGGTGCAAATTTTTTTACATTTTTTTTACACTGATGAGAAACCTTATTTTAATATCATTGTGTGAAATTTATAAAGACATATAATCTGAGAATTATCAGTATTAACACCATTGGAATGAAAGGAGTTTCATTAAATTCCTTTGAATTTATAACTCATGATTGCTCAAAAACAATCCAAATTCATAAATATTACTCTGAAAAATCTCAAACAAAATAAATTATTAACTGATGTTTTTCATGCTGCGATGGATCATCAATAGACATACATATTCATGTTCATCAACAAAATTCAGTCCCAAAAGTGTTGGCAAAATATGTTTTACAAAGTTGTTTTGACACTAATTTAACTCCATAGATCATTTTACAAAAAGTACTTTTGACACCTAATGGGACTCCATACAAAACCCGAAACATGTAACTTTTTAAAAATGGTTATCCCTCTTAAAAATAATATTAAAACATAGAAGATATTAGAAATAAAGGATGTGTATTTTGAGGGTCTTAAAGCATTGGCAAAGTTTAGTTCGCTTACTAAAAACCATTTGAGGGGAAAGGAAAGGTCGTGACCTTTGTTTAGGGTCGAGGAAGATGGGAGGGGTCACAGGAAGCGACACGAAAACCGCCAATTACACTCTTCGAGAAAACGGTTCAGTGGGGTTCAATCTAGAACCTTTTCTTTCAAGAGTGTAGATAGTTTGCCATAATATATAAATATGTACAAAATACAGTCATAAAACGGACTGATTTTGATTGGATGAGACAATTGAAAATACACAGTTTGTGTAACTTTTTAAAAATGGTTATCCCTCTTAAAAATAATATTAAAACATAGAAGATAATAGAAATAAAGGATGTGTATTTTGAGGGTCTTAAAGCATTGGCAAAGTTTAGTTCGCTTACTAAAAACCATTTGAGGGGAAAGGAAAGGTCGTGACCTTTGTTTAGGGTCGAGGAAGATGGGAGGGGTCACAGGAAGGGACACGAAAACCGCCAATTACACTCTTCGAGAAAATGGTTCAGTGGGGTTTAATCTAGAACCTTTTCTTTCAAGAGTGTAGATAGTTTGCCATAATATATAAATATGTACAAAATACAGTCATAAAACGGACTGATTTTGATTGGATGAGACAATTGAAAATACACAGTTTGTCACTCTAATTCATTATTTCAATTGTCATTGCTTTTACAAAAAGGCAGCAGCAGGCAAAAGTATTAAAAATGATAATGTAATAAATAACACACTTCTGAAAGTTCACAGCGAATGCAGCGGCACTCGAGACGCCCACATCAACCACAATACACTCCTGTCACCCAACACACACACACACACACACGTGTAATTGCCAGCAGCTGGAAAGCTTTGTTTCTGCTAATGAAACTATTCCAGTGTATGTGCAGATCCACCAGAAAGCACATGAAAGAGCCTGCAGATACTCTAATGATCTGATTTCACACCGTTTCTAGAGCTCAAACTGTTAAAGTTGCGTGTGTGCGTCGTCTAGTTGTAATTGAAATCTAAAGCTACAGCTAGCTGTGATTGGTTGTCTTGGTCGATTAGATCTGCTTGTATCTTCAGGAACTCCTGCCAGTGTCTCTGTGTTTGACAGCCAGCTTCTGATTTCAGAAATCTAGATGAGATCTGTTTGATTTCGAGTTCCAGACTCGTGTGAGCTCTGCACGGATTCTCTGATCTCTGCATGTGATCCTCATGTCCATCTGTCTCTCTGCAGTTTCAGTTTAGAATCCGTTTGAACTATTATAGAACTATTCCACATTCACTTCAGTGAGAGTAAATGAGATGCACTGAACTGTAGAAAAATGATCATTTAAACATTAAACACTTAAGAATGTTTTAAAAATGTTTTTCTTGGTTATACGAACATAAAGGCAACATTCCATTTGATCATTTCACAAACATTATAGGAACGTTACTTTTGAATGTTCTCTGAACGTCCTGAAACAAGTAGATACATTGTTACACCAGCATCCAAATCATTGAGTAATGATGTATAAATGTCTTTGTGCTAACGGTTTGAGAAACTATTCAAGACTTTAATACTGTGGAAATTAAACTTAGTATTAAAAATAATTATTTTGAACAAATTCAGCACTTTTCTTAGGTGTGCAAACGTTACCATTCCTTTTGATCATTTTGTAAACATTATGGAAATGTTACTTTTGAATGTTCTGAAACAAAGAGCTCAAAATAATTATTGTAAACATTAGTTGTTGTTTTTTTAATCTTGGTTATACAAACATTAAAGGTACATTTTATTTGATCATTTTGCAAACATTATCGGAAAGCTATTTTTAAATGTTCTCTGAAAACAAGTCAAATGTAAAAAAATTAAATAAAAATAGTTCAAACATCCTACCGAAACAGAAATGAAATGTTCCATGAATGATGTATAAATTATGTTTTTGACATTAATACTGTGGAAATTAAACAGCTTATTAAAACCAATTATTTTAAACATTTAAAAAGTCAGAAAATATCCTTATCCATCTAGTCAAGCTGGTTATTACTGATCCTCAAAATGGTCAAGCATCAGCTGATGAATCGATATACGGCTAGTTCTGAGTGATTATGATCATAAAAGCATAGCAGAGTATGTTTGCGATGAAAGGAGTGTGTGAATGAAAGCTGCTGATAAATCCTCTTTCGCTCAAACACAGCCTCACCTGGACGAGTGTGCGGTCAGAGACGGAGACGGAGCCGGTCCAGAGGCCAGGGGTCATCCATGAACGGAGCCGACGAGGGCCTCTTCTCTGCTTCTGACGGGTTCTCTCGGTCTGTGATGCTGCTCTCTGGAGGAGTCTCTCTCTCTCTCTCTCTGTGTGTGTGTGTGTGTGTGTGTGTGTTTGAACTCGTCTCCGTCACTCGCATGTGGATCTGATCACACTGAGAGCTTTCTATTGGCTCTGATCAGCACACGTCTCTCTCTCTCTCTCTCTCTTTAGTTTTCAGCTGTTTTCACTGCTTCTGGCTTTTTCTGTTCGCAGACATCATGCAGGATCAGGCAGAGGTTTGATTTTAAATTGATGTGATGTTAATTAACAAGCATCATCCCAGATATCTTGACTTCAGTCACGGGGAAAAAAAAAAGGTTTGAAGAAACTCCAAGTAAAAGGCATCATTTATGACAGTAGTTTATTAAATATGTAATAATTCCACTCTATATTGTTTACCAATTTGGTTTTATTATTTGAAAATAACTTAAAATTTTTTTTTTTTTTCACAATTTAAGAGTTTATTCTTAACTATATTTAACATGTGTGTATGTGTGTGTCTGTGTGTGTATAAACTAATATAAATGTATAGTTAATATAAAGATTTTTTTTTATGTTCTTTGTGGCGCTGGTGTTACTGTATTGTTTGTGTGAATGCATGCGAGCATCTCTCATCCTAAATGCGTTTAGGATTGCCTTTATTTTTTCTTAAACACAGCTCTTATAGATGCGTTTAAAACTAACCATCCTACAGATCTCTAGTGTGTGACCAGGACTGAACTTCTATAATCAGGCTAGAGTTTGAACAGCTCTACTCAAGCTTCTACTCCTGCTTTCGTCTGTTTCTAAGATGTTAGAAAATAATGAAGAACTCTGAAATCACACAAATGGAATCATGGGAATGATGCAGAGACACAAAGAGAAGAAACTCTGTTTACTAAACTTATGAAACAACAAGAAATGTTGAAATGCCAAATTACTGCTAAAGTGTTTTACCTGCAAAATGTATTCATGAAAAAAAATCATATTTGTTATAAAATATTTTCTAAATATTATCAAATGTTTTATTATAGTATTAAAAAAAGTCAAGCTGTTAATAAATGATATCAGCTTTTATGGCAGAAAAAACTTTTTTTGAGAATGAAATTAAATGATGTGAAAAATGAAAGAAACTTCTGAGAATTAATGAATGATCATGAATTAATAACTACTTAAACCCAATCATGACCGAATCACTGCGATTCACTGCCCTCTGCTGTTCAGAACAACACAAGTGATTCAGAACACAAATGATTCAGAACACAAGTGATTCAGAACACAAGCGATTCAGAAGTGATTCAGAACAAGCGATTCAGAACAAATATGATTCAGAAGTGATTCAGAACAAGTGATTCAGAACACATGATTCAGAACACAAGTGATTCAGAACACAAGTGATTCAGAACACAAATGATTCAGAACACAAATGATTCAGAACACAAATGATTCAGAACACAAGTGATTCAGAACACAAGCGATTCAGAAGTGATTCAGAACACAAGTGATTCAGAACACATGATTCAGAACACAAGTGATTCAGAACACATGATTCAGAACACAAGTGATTCAGAACACATGATTCAGAACACAAGTGATTCAGAACACATGATTCAGAACACAAGTGATTCAGAACACATGATTCAGAACACAAGTGATTCAGAACACATGATTCAGAACACAAGTGATTCAGAACACATGATTCAGAACACAAGTGATTCAGAACACATGATTCAGAACACAAGTGATTCAGAACACATGATTCAGAACACAAGTGACAGAACACAAATGATTCAGAACACAAGTGATTCAGAACACAAGTGATTCAGAACACAAGTGATTCAGAACACAAGCGATTCAGAACACAAGCGATTCAGAAGTGATTCAGAACACAAGCGATTCAGAACAAATATGATTCAGAAGTGATTCAGAACAAGTGATTCAGAACAAGTGATTCAGAACACATGATTCAGAACACAAGTGATTCAGAACACAAGTGATTCAGAATACAAGTGATTCAGAACACATGATTCAGAACACATGATTCAGAACACAAATGATTCAGAACACAAGTGATTCAGAACACAAGCGATTCAGAACACAAGTGATTCAGAACACAAATGATTCAGAACACAAATGATTCAGAACACAAGTGATTCAGAACACAAGTGATTCAGAACACAAGTGATTCAGAACACAAAATGATTCAGAACGATTCACTGAGTCACTTTCATCTCCAGTCCTTTTATTTATGTAACTGTGGAATTATGTACAGAATCGATATCATAAACGCAGGAACCCAGACCGGATGAGCTGGTCGTTTCTCTCCGCTCATAATCTTTGGATCGCAGTCGTTTTCTGAAGAAACTGAACTCAAATGAAATACTGTATGATGCAGATCTCAGCTCCGTGTCGCTCAGGGTCCATAAATCACATCACGTTATCATCTCGCTTATTGAGTCCATAAATGAACATTACCTTATGGATGGTGCGTCATGTTTAATGTACAGATGGTAAATTATAGGTGTCCAAATATTATTATTATTAGCGTCCATTACAATCTACACTGTACATTATTTCACGTCCATCAAGCGGCAGTGACCGTATGATTTCTCATCATAAATCCCGCTGATTCTTCAGATCTGTACACACTTACAGAAGCAAAGCTTGCAGAAAACAAAACATGTTCTTAGATATAAAATAAGTAAGAGCTGAGCTGGAGAGAGAGTGAGAAGCGTGATTCTCCGGAGGATCCATGGCTCTTCTGAAAGTCCTGGAGAAGGTCCAGTGTTCGGCTCATGCTCGTTATAATCATCAGCATTAATGTACAGACGTGTAACGTGACGTTTGCGTGATCTTACAGGCGCTTCACTCTCTGACGGCATCTGAGAGAGAAACACACACACACACACACCAAACGAAAGCAATAGAGTTCAGTTCCTCTGCTCTTCATAAAAGCCTCCTGAGCCTCAGTCCTAAGATTACTTTTCTCTCTGAAAATTTTTTTTTTCTCATCAAAAGTTTTCTCTCTTCAAAATGTTTTTCTCTCATATAAAAAAAAAAAATTCTCAAATTTTTTACTTCAAAAATAAATCAATAAAATGAGCAAACAAGCAAATAAATACACATTTAAAAAATCCCAATTTTTCTCTCTAAAGTTTTTTTTCTCTTCAAAAAATAAATAAAAATAAAATCTCACCAAAAACATTTTTACTCTCTTCAAATGAATAACGAAAACAAAAATAAAATAAATTCCAAAAACTCCTCTCTTCAATTTTCTCTCCTCAAAATGAAACAAAACAAAAATCTCACTAAAAGCATTTTTAGTCCATTCAAAAAAACAAATCAAATTTTGTTCTTCTAAAAAAAAAAAAAAAAATCTCTCAAAAACATTTTTTCCTCTCAAAAAAAAAAAACACATAAAAAGTTCGGCTCATGCTCGTTATAATCATCAGCATTAATGTACAGACGTGTAACGTGACGTTTGCGTGATCTTACAGGCGCTTCACTCTCTGACGGCATCTGAGAGAGAAACACACACACACACACACACACCAAACGAAAGCAATAGAGTTCAGTTCCTCTGCTCTTCATAAAAGCCTCCTGAGCCTCAGTCCTAAGATTACTTTTCTCTCTGAAAATTTTTTTTTTCTCATCAAAAGTTTTTTCTCTCTTCAAAATGTTTCTCTCATATAAAAAAAAAAAAATTTTCTCTCTAAAGTTTTTTTTCTCTTCAAAAAATAAATAAAAATAAAATCTCACCAAAAACATTTTTACTCTCTTCAAATGAATAACGAAAACAAAAATAAAATAAATTCCAAAAACTCCTCTCTTCAATTTTCTCTCCTCAAAATGAAACAAAACAAAAATCTCTCACTAAAAGCATTTTTAGTCCATTCAAAAAAACAAATCAAATTTTGTTCTTCTTCTAAAAAAAAAAAAAAATTCTCTCAAAAACATTTTTACTCCTCAAAAAAAAAAAGCAAATAAAATGCTAATGTTTTCTCTTTAAAATTTTCTCTCTTCAAAATGTTTTTCTCTTATATATAAAAAAACAAACAAAAAAAAACATTTTTATTCTCTTAAAAAAAAAGAAATAATATAAACAAATAAATAAAAACAACAAAATCCAAATTTCTCTCTATAACGGTTTTCTCTTACAAAAAATACATTTTTACTCTGTTCAAACAAAGAAATAAGAAACAAAATTAAAATTAATTCTCAACAAAAACATTTTTACTCTTCAAAAAAATTAAATAAATATTCAAATAAAATTCAAAAATTCTCTCTCTTCAAAATGTTTTTCTCTTATATATATATATATATAAAAAAACACTTAAAAACATTTTTATTCTCCTAAAAAAATAAATAATATAAATATAACAATCCAAATTTTTCTCTCTATAACTGTTTTCTCTTACAAAAAAAAACAACATTTGTACTCTGTTCAAACAAATAAATAACTAAAACTAAAATAAAATAAATTCCAAAAACTTTTTTCTCTTCCAATTTTTTCTCCTCAAAACGAAACAAAACAAAAAACTCACTAAAATCATCAAAAACAAAATTGTCCAATTTTTTCTCACATTTTCTCTCTTGAAAATGTTTTTCTCTCTTAATAACTCAAATGTATTTTTCCCCGCCTCTGTAATATATACACTGGACACAGCATACAGCGTGCTCATGTAAAGCGGACTCGTTATATCGTCACTAATGTAACTCTATTATTGTCCAGCTCTAATCTGTTCAATGCATCTATAAGATATTATAAACATTAACATCATTATTTTCTGTAAAGCTGATTCAAACAATGTCTTAAAAATGAAATACAAATGAACAGATTTGTAGCTTCATCACATTATAGAGCTGTTTACGCTCTATTCTCATCATTCAGTTTAATATCCATGCTCTGATATTCAAAATAATGCAAAGCTGAAACTCACCTGAGCTTCAGACCCTAGAAAAGATTCTTGCTTCTCTGTGAAGGAAAAGAGAAAGAGTTGATGAAGGGATCAAAGCCGCCAGACGAAGAAAAAGTGCTACATACACGAAAGATTGTGCTGGATTACATCGTCAGATTCCAATAATTAAATACTTGATATTAGATTTCATTACATTTTAAAATACTCCTGATCAGACTACTACAGTTACTTTTAAATTGATCACTTCATATTCACAAAATGGCAATAAAATACTCCTAATTCATTGATTCTCCCGGATTTTTTTTATATTTTACATTCTCCTTTCCTAAAGGACTATTGCTTAAATACATTTGTTACATCGTCCAGTTTTGTGAACGCACAGAAAATAGAGAAATCAAACAATATAAACAAATAGAACAAATTTAGTTAAGCGTTTCATTTGGATTGTTTTCAATTTAAAATGATTTATTTCATGTTCTTGATAACAAAGAATGGAATATTTTTATTTCTCTTTGTATTTTTATATAATTATGAAACAAGAGTATCCTATTCAAGGCAAGGTACGTTTATTTCATACACCGTGGTAGTTTAAAGAGCTTAAAAATATAATAATAATATATATATAAAATAATACAAATAAAATATTTTTATTTTACTTTATAAAAATATTTAAAAAAAATAAGAAATACTATAAAATAAACTACTATGCTATAAAATAAAATACTAAATAAACACTACAACAACAAAACAAATCAATAAAAAAAATTACTTAAATTATTTGGGTCAAAAGTAATCTAAAAGTAATCCAAAAATTGTCAGATTACATTACCTAAAATATTTAATTTAATTTTGTTTTATTTAATTTTCTAAAAAAAAAATAAGAAGAAGAAATACTATACTATAAAATACTATAAATACTAAAAAAAAAAAAATTACTTGAATTATTTGGGTCAAAAGTAATCTAAAAGTAATCCAAAAGTTGTCAGATTTCATTACCTAAAATGTCTAATTTTATTTTATTAAAAAATTATGAAAAATACCGTATTGGCCCGAATATAAGACGACCCTGTTTCCAGATGTACCTTTTAGAAAAAGGCTTTTTAAAAACCAAATCTTGTTTGTTCTCAGTAAAACACATTTTGTCTTCAATTATTTTCATATTGCATATTTTTCCTATTTTAATTTTTGTTTTGAAAGTATGGTAAAAACTGGTAAACTGTACCAACAATCACATTTTAAAAATATACACTTTTTGATAAACCGGTAGCCCATCTGAATTAGGACATTTAGGCTATCCATCTAATAGTAGCCTACCAACATCTTATTAACAGTAGAAGTTAAATCTTACTGTAGTCTTCAAATCTGGGTACCGTCTTACGTTTTAAAATCACAAAGAGAGTTTGTTCACATCAGGCTAACGCGACAGTCACGACTCATGCATCTGTAAGCTTTTCTTTCTCTTTAGTTTTTACTCGCGATCTTTACAACACGCATTACATTACGTATTTCACTCGTTTTATGGGTATTTGGCGCCACCTAGTGTTGAGGGTGTAGTATTGACACGTCAAAGTCTAGACCCTGAATATAAAAGACGACCGCGTTTTTCCAAGAAAAAAAACATCGTCTTATATTCGGGTCAATACGGTAATAAGAAATACTATAAAATGAAATACTATACTATAAAATACTATAAATACTAAATAAACTACAAAAAAAGAATCTAAAAGTAATCCAAAAGTAGTCAGATTACATTACCTAAAATGTGTAATGTAACAGATTATATTACTAACTACAATTTTGATCATGCAGTTTGCATTTAGTAATGCTGAGAGACTGATTGAAATGATTTTCTGTGGTACTTTCCAGCATGTCTATACATCTCTGACACTGAAGAGACGACCCGTCTGACAGAACTCACCACATCACAGAAAAACCAGCCAATCAGCACTTCCTGTTTCATCACTTCAAAACAAAACAGACACAACAGAACAGAACAGAAGAAGAAAAACAAACGAGATGCGGCAGACACCTCGTGACGGGAGACGAGGGCTTAAACAGAAATAAACACAGGAGTAACTGAAGCAGAATGAGGACATTTAGATGGCTGTTTCCAGGCGCTTCAGAGGCTTTACCTTCTTCTTGGCCTGCAGCATCTCCTGGTAGGCGCTGGATCTGATGAAGCGGCTGTAGGAGTCACTCTTCATGAGTTTATAGATGTGCTCCTGATGAAGCACAAACACACAGCGTTCAGGAGACGATGACGAGAGCCTCACGTGAGCCGAGTAAAGCTGAAGCACAGACCTGAGCGTCCTGGAAAGCGTATCGGCCGGGATCCTTGATGTTCTGCGTGGTTTTGTCGTAGCTCCTGGAGTCGACGTTGATGGCACTCGGAGCTCCAGAAGCCAGAAACTCGTCCCAGATCTCCTGCACCCTGCTGGGAACCTCCCGGATCGGACGCTTCTTCAGCTCCTGCACCGCCAGCCAGAACCTGCACAGATTTGACCAAAAATATTTCAACATTTCAAAAAATACATATTAATGTAATATAGTTGGGTGCAATGCAACATTTACGTTTAGTTTAATTATTTAATTCTTTTAAAAAGTAATATTTCCAAAACATTTTAATACAGTCTAGTTGGATGTACAACATTTTAATTAATTATTTAAAATGTTAAAAATGTAATATTTTTTTATTATTATTTAAAATGTTAAAATGTAATACATTTGAATATAATATAGCCGAATACGATGCAACATTTACGTTTTTGTGTAGTTATTTAAACATGTATTTAATATAGTTGGATATAATGTGACATTTTGACGTGTATCCGACGTGTATCCGACGTGTATCCGACGTGACTCAGACGTGAATCAGACGTGAATCAGACGTGAATCAGGAATTAGACTTGTATCAGATGTGAATCAGACGTGAATCAGACGTGAATCAGGAATCAGACTTGTATCAGACGTGAATCAGACGTGTATCAGACGTGAATCAGACGTGTATCAGACGTGAATCAGACGTGTATCAGACGTGAATCAGACGTGTATCAGACGTGAATCAGACGTGTATCAGACGTGAATCAGACGTGAATCAGACGCGAATCAGGAATCAGACTTGTATCAGACGTGAATCAGACGTGAATCAGGAATCAGACTTGTATCAGACGTGAATCAGGAATCAGACTTGTATCAGACGTGAATCAGGAATCAGACTTGTATCAGACGTGAATCAGACGTGTATCAGACGTGAATCAGACGTGAATCAGACGTGAATCAGGAATCAGACTTGTATCAGACGTGAATCAGACGTGTATCAGACGTGAATCAGATGTGAATCAGACGTGCATCAGACGTGAATCAGACGTGTATCAGACGTGAAATCAGACGTAAATCAGACGTGTATCAGACGTGTATCAGACGTGTATCAGATGTTAATCAGATGTTAATCAGACGTGGTATCAGACGTGAAATCAGACGTGAAATCAGACGTGAAATCAGATGTGTATCAGATGTGAATCAGATGTGAATCAGAGTGTTCTGGGTTTTACCTCAGGTTCTCGGAGCTGAACTCGGACTCCAGGAACCTGAGGAACTGCTCTCTCCCGACCGGATCCTTCAGAACCTCGTCGAAGCAGAATCCCCAGCGCTTCACCCGCTGCTGCCCTGCTTCTTTACTGAGACGATCAGAACAAATCTGCCCATCATTCATCACTTATCACACTTTTCTTGGTGATTTTTCACATCATTTTTTGCTCTAAATTCATCTCGAGGCTGACAGCTCCGCTTCATGACACTGAACTGGTTTTTAAAGAGCAATAATCATTTTAAACCCCTTCAAAGAAAACGCATGAGAAAAGCCAAAGACAGGACACACACCTGGCCTCCAGCTCCCAGGAAGTGACATCATCAGAGATCCAGGGGTTCGACGGCTCCGGCGTCGTGAAGAACGGATCGTACTCGATATACTGCTCCGAGAAACTCAACAAGCTACAACAACAAATAAACAGCATTTCACTTTAAAGTTGTTTCATTCATCAAGGACGCATTAAATTGATCAAAAGTGACACGGTACAATGCTACAAAAGATTTCCATTTCAAATAAATGCTGTTCTTTCTATTCATCTGTGAATCCTGAAAAATACAATGCATCACAGTTTCCACAAAAATATTGTGCAGCACGACTGTTTTCAACATTGATAATAATCAGAAATGTTTCTTGAGCAGCAGATCAGCATATTATAGTGATTTCTGAAGATCATGTGACACTGAAGACTGGAGGAATGATGCTGAAAATACAGCTGCACATCACAGGAATACATTACACTTTAATATATATTCACACAGAAAACAGCTGTTTGACATCATAATAATATTTCATCATTTTTACTGTATTTTTGATCAAATAAAAGCAGCCTTGCTGAGCAGAAGACCAGCTCCTGAACACTGGTGTATAGTGAGAGCATGAAAAAAAATATACAAGACAAACTAAAATATTTTGTTAATAAAATAAAATAATTTTTAAAAAATAAAATAATGGCGTTTTTTAAGAATTAGAAATGATCTGACAATGAACACATTGCAACCATGCTTGGGACGGCCCACATAAACGAGCAAAAATGCTTTACATATCTTGAAATAATAATTTCTAAACATTAAACATTGTCAGTCTTTATTCACCCGTTTCTCATTCAAATGAATTAAAGTAAATAGTGTAAATTACGTCGCTAATGTCATAGAATAGCACACTGTAACCGTGTTACAACATTCCTCATCTGCGCAACTGGAGTTTAAAACTGGTCAGTGTCTTCTGCTAGTTATCAAAGCATTAAAAAACGATCTGAACTCATAAATAACAGATTGTAGATTAAAATAATTGCAGATTTGTCTCATTTTAAATGAATAATAAAAACTGAGATGAAAAATGTACTTAAGCCAGAATTTTAGCGATATCTTTAAAAGATTTTAGAATTTTGGCACACATTTTCTTTCTGTATAATGTTGATATGGTAACTAGTAAATACTGTAAGTTTTGTTATGCTAGCATGTGTGGAAACATTCAGACCACGCGTGTTACAACTAACCCGCGCTACTTTGTGCCCCGCGCTCCCCTGCTGTTAGATCAAGGGAACTCACCTCTCGGCGACTTTGGACATTTTTAACCGGTGTCTGTCTAGCTGTGTTTGCCAGAGCTGGATCTGAAGAGAAGAGAGGAGCACAGGCTCATGTGAATCACAGGGAAGAGTCTCTAAATGACGGATCAGCAGTGAAAGCAGCGTCTGAGATGAATCTGAATCACTGCAGGCTCACTCAAGATCCGTCTGGAACTGAATTCTGATTTTTTAAGAATGTCATGTCAGAAGCTCTTATAAAAATACATTTTAAAAAGCATTAAAATGATTTGCTCTCATTGCTTGTAGTATATATATAATGTATCATTATTTATTCATTGCCTGTCTTTTGATCTGGTTCTGATTGGATTTAAATCTGTCCTCTGTTTATAATATTCAGAAGTGATTTTTTTGCACTTCTCAGAAGCTCTTATAAAAGAGCCCTAAAAAATGAAAGTCAAAAATTATTAAATAAAGCAGTAATCCCCGTGAAGCCGTGGTTTACAGTGAATTTATAACAGCTGAGGGGCGTTGTTAGCTGTTAAAACACCTTAGCTGTTATAAATTCACTGTAAACCACGGCTTCACGGGGATTACTGCTTTTATAAAACGGTTATATACGTAGTAAGGTTTCACAAAATAAAGCAGAGCAAATAAAGTGTAATGATATTAATAAACACAGTATTCTTCCACCAAACAATGTAGCTCCTCAGAAACAGTTGTGGTTGCTACAAAGTGGTTGCCGAGCAACACACAAACGTAAACAAAGGTGTGTGTTACATTGTAGCGTCATTTACAACAGCTTCGAACGCGGCTCAGCCAATCAGAGTCAAGCACCGGAACGCTCCGCTTTATAAAAGCATTTTATTTCCTTATAACATATAATTTACTCTAGAAATTATTTTGCTTTCCTATTAGTTTATTTGTATTATTTTTTATTATTTTTTATTATCGTTTATTCATTTATTGTCTTATTTTATATCTTGTTCTGATTTTTTGAGAATGTCATGTCAAAAGCCCTTATAAAAATGATTTTAAAAATGATTTGACCTCCTTTTAATTTATTAATTTACTGCTTTTTTATTATATATTATTTATTACTTTTTATTCATTCATTCATTCACTGTCTGTCATGTTTTGATTTTTGATCTGGTTCTGATTTAAGGCTTTATTGGTTTCTTAAAACTGTATGCCATTTTAGTGTTAGTAATATTTTGTATTCAGTTTATTAGAAAGAGAGATGGAGTTCATTTACAGTAAAGGTTATATACGTGATATCAATCAGTGGTACCTGTAACTGTATGATGTACTACAAACAAAATAAGGTCAGGGAAAAAATAATTATATTTTGCATTGAAATAAAACTACAGGTGCACTCCACAGAACGGAAAGTCTTTCTCAGACACAGATCTGCTCAGACTCAGACAGTCGTGTCACCTGGTTGCGAAGCTCGTCCTCCGTAGGCTCTTTCACTTCCGGTGCGGCTGTGTGAGTCGGACTGTGACTGCGGATGTCGTTCTGTAGACCGTACACCGACTGCAGACACACACACACACACACACACACTCTCTCACACACACACACACACACACACACACTCTCTCACACACACACACACACACACACACACACACGCTCTCTCACACACACACACACACACACACACACACTCTCACACACAC